GAGGTGGGATCGGGTCCCGGGATAAACCCTTCGTGTTTGCAGTAGTCGTCAATAGTGCGGGTGACGGCCGGTCTGAATGGGCCCTCAGTAAAGGCACCTGTGGTTCAAAATGAGAAAAGTTTTATTTGATTTGAATTGCTGTAAATTATTGAATACATACCCTGACAGAGGGCTACGGCTCCCAAAAGTGCTGATAATAAGAATAGTTTTGACATTTTTAGTATATGTGACCAAAAACTATACAAAACACAAACTATTGTCTCAATCTATGAACCGATGCCTTAAATAGTGAATTGATCCTACATGTGGTGATCCCACTAATAGTGGTGGNACCGCTTCCGCCAACAAATGATCTGATTTTCCGTCTATTTATGCATTCTTTCATATATTTGTATATTTAAACTAAAACTCAAAATATTTGCCTAAATTTTTGTAATTTAATCTTATATTTGTTTAAACTCTACATTAAAACAATTTTAATCAATATTTTGTTTATATTATTACTAAACTGAGCAACTGGTGCTATAATATGATAATACTGTACCGGTAATAACAAATTAAATTGTAACTAATGTCCTGGTTGGAAAATATTAATTTCTTAGAAATTACTTAAATTTTTTAAACTACTAATCATTTGATAATCAATTGATGTGTTTTATGTCGAGGGATTCAAACACCTGTTAGTCGTACTGTTTATTAGACAGAAAAATGTAATTATAAAAATATATTGTTTTAAATTATATCAAATATTCTTTTATAATTGATTTCTGAGAATTATTACTTGATACTAGTTTAATTTTAAATGTATTTCTAAGAAAACAACACTATTTATATAATATAATCAGTTTAATCAAGTATCAAATAAAAGTATACAAAAAGATATAAAATATACAAAAATGTGTTACAATTTCTGTTCAGTTTCTAAAGGACTACATTCACTCACTATTTAAGGCATCGGTTCATGAATTGAGACAATAATTGGTGTCATTTATAGTGTTTGGTCACATATACCAAACATGTCGACAAATTTCTTGTTAACTCTACTTTTGGGAGCCGTAGCCCTCTGTCAGGGTATGTATTCATGATTTACATTCAATTAAAATTTAAAAATTTTAATTCTGAACCACAGGTGCCTTTACTGAAGGCCCGTTCAGACCGGCCGTTACCCGCAGTATTGACGACTACTGTAAACACGAAGGGTTTATCCCGGGACCCGATCCCACCTCATACTACAAGTGTGAGTACGTACCCGACCAGTGCTGGAATAAACAGCTTGAGCACTGTCCAGATGGTGGTACTTGGGATGAGGTAACTCGACAATGTATGTGATCGAAAATATTCTTTAAAATGACTATACTTATAATATGTGTAATAATTAGGTAAGGCTAGAGCGACCACTACCACAACAACCACTACTACCACAACTACAACACCTAAGCCCACAACCACTACCACCACAACTACTACTCCCGTCCCGACCACTGTGACCGCTGGATCAACAACCAGTAGTATCGACTACTATTGCAACAAGGATAAATATATGCCACATCCCAGTGATCCCCATAAATACTACCAGTGCGAATGGATCCCAGGCCAGGGCTGGTACCTCCATGAGCGTACCTGTCCTGAACACACCTCTTGGGTTCAGAAGGACCTCAAATGTGATGGCACCGGTGTATAAACTAATGTGTTATACACCAGGATGAAATAATTTCTAATACCATTCCCATATAATATTAATCTTATAAAAGTATAATACTTGATTAATCGTAAATGCTAATGTAAATGTTAATTTATATTAAAATAATATCTAAATTATTATTTATTTAATATTTATTACAAATCATTTGAGATATAATTACCCAAAATTTATAATAAACAATAATGAATATTATAAATTATTTAAGGTTCTTATTAAATATTAAATTAAAATTACTTTAAAATATTATAATATAGATAATGAATGAATACGAATAAGATAATATTTTAACTTATATTATTTGAATGATAAATAAAAATTTCTATTTTCATATAATGTGATCACTCAATACAAACTGATAGTTTCTATGTTTTTATGGCTTTCATTTAAATAGCAATTAAAACTACAGTAAATATTAACTTATATGTACCGTAGAACATATTATCTGTTCATGGTGTTTATTACTAGGGCATTACTAGGTATTAATAGTATACATGAAAGTATACTAATATTTATGTGTTAATTTTGTAAATGTTAATTTTTAAAATTATCAATTGAATTACAGTAATGTTTTGTACCATTTAGATGCAGATTTAAACAGATTGGTACCGGATATATAATAAATTAAATATTGTAATTTTACAACAAAATGTTTAGCATATTTTACGTTTGTTAATATTTTATTTTATAAATTGATCATTTTTAACTAGTAATATAAATTGTATTATAATATTAATTCTGATACAAAAAATTATGTTAATGACAGACTATAAAATCAATAAAATGGTGTTTAACCATGCTTCATTTTATAATATCACATTTATATTAAAATATTTTAAATAAAAATAAAAGTTGTCATTTCTTTTATAATTCCTAATGGAAATATATCTATTTTATAAATTACCTTTAACATTTGGAAAATAATAAATATTTTATTTAGAATAATACAAGTCAAAATATAATAACTACAATTAGAGCAGGATTTTACATAATTTTTTACCTTATACCAATTGTTATTGTTATATTTACTTGAGTTACACTGAAAATAATAATTAATATAAGTTAATATTGGTTAAATAACATATCATTTTATACGAGATTTCGTAAGGATTTGGAAGTCTATTTAGTATTTCATTTATATACCACACTTTTACACTGATATTAACTACTTAACAATTCAATTAGGTATTAATCCATTACATAGGTCTATCGTATTAATAGTTTAAAGGTGTAAATAAGATATATAATGAATCACTTTAACATTGAATTTAATTTATCAAGCAATATATTGTACTTGTATATTGGAAAATATAAAATTAATGATTTCTAGGAAATTACATAATTTTCTTAAAACTACTTAATTTATAATCAATTAATTATCATTTTGAAGTATGCTTATATCGATGAATCTAAGTACCTGTGATTCATAATGTTTCAGGAGGGTTAATTTTTAAAAATAATTATATTTTAAAATTAAAACAAAATATTCTTTTATAAATGATAATATAAGAATTTTGAAAAA